CTGGAATGTGATTTTAAGCTTTAGCTCCTGAGTTTGCAGGGGACGCAGGGAAATTGTCCAAGTCAGGTCTCTGAGCTGCTATATCTTCCCCTTCTCCCCTATTCCAGAGCACCTGCCTGGTTTTACATTAGAGATCAGAAGACTGGAAGGGGAGCAGTGTGAGCTGAGCTACTGAGAAAGTAAGGGCTCATGCACATGGGTGGCTGGCGCCATACAGCGTAACTCGGGCATATTTCCCCTACCCAGAAGTCGCAGGTGCTGCGTACAGATGCCCATAGAAACCAACAGCTGTACACATCTGTAGACTGATTTACATCAGTACTTGTATAAACACGGACATGCGTATCAACCTACAACCCTGGACACAGACCGCCTGCATACATGAGCATGACTTTTTATGCATGAGCATGTTTATGCAAGTAACTGTGTATACATGTTTTAAAGCCATGCACAGCCATTTATTTTATCTAGCTCCTCCAAGGAACATGCATGGCAAAGAACTTCAATAAATGAAGCTTTTGCTATTCTAAAAGGACTGGTGTGCTGGTGACATTTCTATAATCTAGAATTGCACCACAGTACATAGAAACACACTACCATGAGTTGTGGTATGCTGTGTGAGAATAAATGGGGCTATAAATTGGTGATTGTGTTCGGCTGTTTTAACACAACACATATTAATGTTCAACATAACGTTCATTCATTAATGCATTGCAACAGACCGTTCCGAGTGAATGGGCTGTAAAACTGCGAGGATGAGTAACTCCACAGCACCTGCAGCTACAAACATCAGTAATGGCTTGTTTTATTTCTCATTTACTGGATAAAGCGGAATTGATGGTCAGGTGTCTAAAAACCATTCCTCTTATACTGTAGGTAGTTAAAGGAGAACTATGGGGTTAAGGCTTTTCCCCATAGTTCTCAGGGTAATGAGAGGACACAAACTAGCGTCCTCCCGTCACCCTAAGCTCAGTATACCGCAAGCTACAGCTCGCGGTATACTGAGACGCCGAAGCGGATCCCGACATCGATGTCGAGATCCGCCCAGCTGCGTGAGTGACAGCTGGCTCTGCCTATCTAGAGGCAGAGCCAGCTGTACCCGCCCCTCCCCCGTCCGTTCCACCATTCAGCGCTGGTGGATCGGAGCGGGGAGAGGGGAATCCAGCCCCTCCCCTGTCACGGCAGAGAGCCGTGACAGGATCGAGAAGTGAGCGAACGCCGGCATGTGTTCGCTCACCTCCCGATCTACTGAGCCGACCTGTGACAGTCTCATTGTCACAGGTCGGTTAGAACTATGAGGTGAGTGAAAAGCACTCACCTCATAGTTCTCCTTTTAAGAAAGTTTAAAAAGTTGATTTTTCTGCTATTCTGGCATAGAATGTTGAGTTTATCTTAAACTGAGATCATTGAAACAGCCTGGTTATTGATTAGAGCATTTGCTCTATGTGGGACGGAAAAATTCACCAGGAATCATCTTTTTACTGTTCAGTTACAGGGCGGGGGAGGGGCAAGACCCGTAAGGGTTATTTAACTGCAGCAGAGAAAAATCATGTCTCCTGTCCTGCTAGATTGGCCTGTGCTGTGTGGCAGAGCTGTTAAAATCTCAGAACTGTTAGGACAGAACTACAAATTCTTTGGCAGGTATACCAGCTCTCATATATGTAGTTCATCTCTGTATTTAGCTGTTCACCTGGAGTTCATTAGGATCTGATTACAATGCAGGAATAAGCAATACTCAGAGCCAGGTAGCCAAAGCACCTAAAATACTCACTATGGGACTTTGGTGTTGAATGTCTTGACTTGGTCTTGAATTCTACTTTCTTTGTGCAACCTACATTAGTTATTCTTGTCTGTACTCGGCAATAGAGATAACGTACAAGTCTTGATACAAGGACTGGTCTAAAAGTCTGCTGCATATAGTATTGTGTTGTATTATGCATGGAGTGTGCAGTGTTTCAGTGGTGACTTCCTGTACCATCTTACTGCCTTTTCTCATTTTCCATAGCAGTCTTCTGCAGCTTTCAAAATTCCTCCAAGCCAGTTCTTTTCTGAGCCTCCTGGCCTCTCCTATCTGTTATTATTCACCATGAACACAAAGGACCTACAATTTATGGGGCTATTACACTCGGGGTGGAGAGGGGTGGATGGGTTTAGTCCACTGCAATGGTTATGTGGGTTATTAGTTCAAGAATAGTTTCATTGATTGTAGTCTCATTCGTATGTCATTTCATGACTCTCTGTGTTTAGTGATTGACTTTTATTAAGTACTGTATTTTTCCATGTATAAGACTATACTTTTTCATAAAAATATTTACCTAAAAATGGAGGGGCGTCTTCTTATACACGGGAGGCCGAGAGGAGAACCGCGGTTGCGAAAATGCCGATACCTCTGCAAACTAGCCTCATGAGTGAAACTTCCGATTGCAGAGACAAGCTAACAGGTTTCCTCCAATCATGAGCCTTATGTACCCGACGTCAGCTAATGCTGCGGAGAGCCTGTAGCCAGTGCCCAGATGCAACAGGGAGCGGTAATGTCGGAGCAATCTGAGCCCATAAAATGTCAGAAAACAAAAAAAATCCCGGTAAATACCAATACCAGGAAGCGGATGTCTTACTCTGCAAAATTTAAAATGGATGTAATCAGTTTTGCAAAAGAGCATGGAAAATATTGATTTCTGAATTTTGGGTAAGAAAAGTGGGGGGCGTCCTATACATGGGGGCGTCTTATAGACGGAAAAATACGGTAATGTTCATTGCTATATAGCAGGGGTAGAGAAACTCCAGTCCCCCAGCTTTGGTGCAACTACAAATCCTATTACGGATCTGCCTGTGGGAGTTATGCCTGTGGCTGTCAGTGTCTTGCAATGCCTAATGGGATTTAGGCCCCATTCACACTGAGCGATTTATGGAGCGATTTTTGCAGCGATATCGCTCATATTTCCACGCGATATCGCTCTATGTAGCTTCTCCAATCCATTTCAATGGAGCTGTTCACATCTCACCGCTCAATATCACTCAATATCGCTTGTAGCTTGTCTCTCCTACATGACCCTTTTTTCTGCGGATTATGAGCGATTTTGCTCCTGATTGCATACAGCCCAATAGGAAAAAGTTGGGCGATTTTCATGTCGCTCAGTGTAAATGGGGCCTTATAGTTGCATCACAGCTGGAGGGTCGTAGCTTGCATACCCCTGCTGTATATTGTGCAGTGTTGTGTATGTACTTCGGTAAATAGTTTACTTGAACTAATTAAAATTTAGGATTATTTAAGGCAACCCCATGGCCTGCCGAATAGCAGTTATAGACAGACTAGTCTTTGCAGAGGTTGTCAAAGGTCTACACTAAAACTTGATATTACACCTTTGCAGGATTACGGGGAAGCTTCTTTTATCTCTGAGTCTCCAGTCCAGGGATTTCCTTTCTAGAATTTCCAGTTTGGCAAGTTGCCATTGGCTACACAAAATCAACTGATGATGTCACACTGCCCAGTGGACTCTTAAGAATGTTCAGTGAAAAAATTGGAAAGTCTTCATTATGGCCTTGTGGGGGAAGGGAGACTGACCATTGCATGGAAATCACCCCCATTGTAGTCTTTAAGAGATATTAGAAGCCAGCAGGTAATTCAGCTCAGGTGCCAACCTAATCCTACTATTTGTGTTAGTAAGTCTTAAAGGAGAAGTATAAGGTGAGTGATTTTCACTCAACTTCATAGTTCGAGCCGACATGTGACAATGAAACTGTCACACGTCGGCTCAATAAATTGGGAAGTGAGCGAAACACATACCGCTGCTTGCTCACTTCTCGATCATGTCCCTGCAGAGAGCCGTGACTGTCACTCACAGCTCCCTGCAGGGATTCCCCCCCTCCCCTCTCCGATCCTCCAGCACTGACTGGCGGAACTCGCGGGGGAGGGGGCGGGTACAGCTGGCTCTGCCTCTAGATAGGCAGAGCCTGCTATCAATCCCGCAGCTAGGTGGATCTCGACAGTAATGTCGGGATCCGTCCTAGCTGTGGCGTCTCAGTATATAGGGAGCTGTAGCTCCCTATATACTGAGCCTAGGGTGACGGGAGGACGCTAGTTTGTGTCCTCCCGTTACCCTTAGGTGAACTATGGGGAAAAGCCCTGACCCCATAGTTCTCCTGTAAACAGTTACCGGATATCTGTTCAGCTATGTCCTATTACCACATTTTGAGGTTGCCTACTCAAGATGTGTTAAGTGTTCCTGTTGCCTCCCGCACTGTTCTGTGTGACTAGTTTCAGCCTAATAATGTGGCCCAGCTTTGCACAAACTCCTGTTTAGAGATTTGTCCTCTTTGGGATAGTTGACTTAATACATTGGACACAACTGCTTGCTTTTTCTGTCTTCTGATACTTTATTTTTACTTGTTTAAAAAGCCAACTCCATCCAAAAATGATTTCTTTTCAGTTTTGAGTAGGCACATGAGGGTTGAGTCACCTTTTTTTATCTACTGGAAGCTCCAATTATCACATTTCTTTGTTGAAGTTTGTGATTCTGGCCTCCTCTGAACGCGGCAACAGTGGTGCCACTCCTCAAGAACTGAACTCCCCAGCATATTTCTGTCTTAGAGAACCCATTGGGGGGGGACTAACATTCACCTTCGTAATAGCCATAGCCCATAAGTAGAAGTTTGGGTATTAAAGGAGAACTATGAGGTGAGTGCTTTTCACTCACCTCGTAGTTCTAGCCGACCTGTGACAAACTGCGGCGTCTCAGTATACAGCGAGCTGTGTACTGAGCCTAGAGTGACGGGAGGACGCTAGTTTGTGTCCTCGTTACCCTAAGGAGAACTATGGGGAAAAGCCTTAACCCCATAGTTCTCCTTTAAGGTCTCTCTACTGGAGTGCCCAAAAGATGAATGACGCCGGCATGTGATCCACCTAGCCAATGCAAAACTGAAAGGCCATTTTATTTTTGGTGGGGTTGGCCTTCAGAGTCGTAATTTGCCTGCTAACAGTCTTGTGATTTGACCCCACCCAGATGCTCAGCCTACAGAGGCCGAAAAGGATATTTATAATCAGGTGAATGTAGTATTAAAAGATGCCGAAGGAATCCTGGATGATTTACAGTCATATCGAGGAGCCGGCCTGGAGATCCGAGAGGTGAATTGATTTTTATCTTCTACTGCATTTTTTTCATAAATCATTGTTTCTCATAGCAATCAGTAACTGACATTTCCCAATGCAGATTTGTAAGTGAAATGCCGAGTCAGATTTCCATGTTCATGACAATGTCCCTTTATTACTTGTTCCCTTAATGAATCCTAGTGGGGCTTTTTCTTGGAGAGTATAAACTATCTATAAACAATTCACAGAACCCTTTGCCTGTAAATCTCTGAGAGCGCTCATTCTGTGTGAATAGAGGCAAAAACTGATGTTCTTTGTATATCTTTTTTTTTCTTCTTCAGGTTGCATTAAAAGTAATACTGCAATATGGCCACTAGATGGAGCTGAGGAACATAGGCAATGTATACTTATTTTTGTATGCTTCTCAGCTCCATCTAGTGGCTATAATGTAGTATTACAAAACATTTAATTCGACTTGAAAAGATGTATACAGAACGTTCATTTGAGTCTTTATTCACAAAAAACAATCGTTCATGGATATTCGCAGGGTGAACAGCTCTGCCAATTGCTAAGTGTTTCCCTTACCCCAATGCTCTTCATTGTCCCCACATTCAACCTAACGTTGTCTAAAACATTTCTCCCAAGTCTAACTGTCCCTGGCTGCTCCTTTTATTCATTGGATTTCAGTTGTGTCAATCATGGAGGCTCAGCAGCACATCTAGCCATTACCAGCAGCAGTCTGCATGCAAATGTCCACTTCCCCAGGCTGATATCCTCCTATCAAGGCATTTTGATATTTTCATAGCTCCTCCCAAGAACCAGCCCACTGCTTGCTTCAGGGCCAAGGGCTCTTGAGAGGAGAATGGTAGGGTGCTGAAATGTTTTCAGAAAGCTATGTACAGCACCCTGCTGGCCCCTCCTACCAATCATGATCTGCCTGCATTGCATAGGGAAGCACAAAGACCTAGTGGTGACATCACGAGGCCTGAAAAAAATGTGCGCAATGAAAACAAGCTTTATTTAAAATTTTATTTAGCATGTTGGTGAGGAACAGGGAAGGCAAATTATTACCAAATTAAACTTGAGCTTTAAATCTTCTTGTTTGCAGGCAATACAACATGCTACTGATGAGAAGTTACAGGAGAAGGCGTGGGGAGCAGTCGTCCCTCTGGTCGGCAAACTAAAGAAATTCTATGAATTCTCTCAGAGACTAGGTAAACATTACATTTAGGGCATTTATGGAAATTTGGTTGCAGGTTATGTAGTAAGGTGCTTCAAGTAATGTGTGAGTTTCCTGAACTCTTCACATTATGGCACGGTATAGTTTAATGTAGCTTCATAAATGCGTACTCCAATCAAACAGAGCTTCCTTGTAGGCTGTGCGGGCTCCACTAATGGGTGAATTCTCTGCTTTACCCAAATGGCGATCATAGCCACCCTAAATGCCAGAGTCATGCTGCCTCTCCATAATATAAAACATAAATAATTGGGTCATCCAGCTGCATGAGAATGATCAAATCGGCAATGGGAAGTAATTTAATACAGGCTGCATTCATATAACTCTGGGTAAAATGTTTAACACTGCAAGTGCTCGTTTGTGTCTAGGTGCTAAAAATAAGTTATGCGCATACAATCCTTGGAGCCGGCTTGTTCTTAGAATGGTCCCTGGTGCCTCTATCCCCCTCCAGTGTAAATCAGTCTTTCTCAACCCGGGTTCCTCCAAAAGTTACTAGGAATTCCTTGAGCAACTTCTGCCTCTCAGAGAGGTAACCACTGATTCCAATAATGTTTTTAGATATTTGTAAAGACCTTCTTCCCACTGATCACCAATGTAAGGGACATTCTTCCCACGATCCCCAATGTAAGGAGCATTCTTCCCACTGATCACCAATGTAAGGGACATTCTTCTCACTGATCACCAATGTAAGGGACATTCTTCTCACTGACCACCAATGTAAGGGACATTCTTCCCACTGATCACCAATGTAAGGGACATTCTTCTCACTGACCACCAATGTAAGCATTCTTCCCACTGACCATCATACTAATGTACCTAGAGCTGTAGATAGAGTAATTATTGTCGGGGTTTCATGGGACCTGAAAGGTATTTTAAGGTTTCTTCTGTGATAACATGGTTGGGACAGGCCGGTGTAAATACTCGCCTCTCCTGTTGCCTACCCTGCCAAACACTGCTCTGCTAAGAAGGAATCGTCTAACAAATCTGGGAAACCAGCAAAGTGGGAGACGCATTGGGAGGAACCAGCAAGCTCTGCACAGCAGATCAGCACTCCTGGAAATGTCAGACTTTGCTGGATGATTCCTTACCAATGGAACAGTATTTGGCAGTGTGGGCAGCAGGAGAGATGAGGCAGATAGATTTACCAATTTTCACACTGGGGTCACTTTAACTAATCGATACTTTAAGGTAACTCCGAAAATGTTTGAATGAGTTAATAGTTGTGCTGAACCCGGAGATCAAACTGTTCTTCTTTTCTAAGCATAAAAGTGTAAGTAGTTCTTGTAAGCTGCATATTCCAGGAAAGGCACAAGGGCTCCTATTTATAACAGAGGCCTGCATCGTATCTTATGCAGAGTTCAGTGTGCGTACAGAATGTTTGACATTCTCTTGTATATATCTCCAGCAGCACCTCCTCAGCAGCTGGGTAATGTATGCCTCATGTTCTTTCCATGAGAATGTACTGATGTGTGTAGCGTTATGGGCTCTGCAAGCCTCCAGCCTCAGATACAAATAGGGTTATGTATATTTCCAGTATCACTATCTCCTTGCTCTCTTATTCTTGCCGTGTCACTGCTTCCTAATGAGCCTTCAGAGTCGTAGTCCAGTTTTAAGTGTTAGAAAAAATAAATCACTTTCACGCACCGTGAGCAGCGATAAGATAATTGTGTCCATAGTCAGCGCTTGGTGGGGGTCTCCATATAACAGACTCGGACTGGATTTTCAGAGATGGACATCAATAATTGGCATAGAGGAGGCTGCAGTTCAATGAAGGTAGGGAGGCCTCAGAATACATGGAAGGAAAAAAAAGAAGGAAGAACGGCGCCTTTGAACGGTCACGTAAATCAAAAGCTGAATATATGATACTCGCAAACGGTGTCTTTAACAACGCATTTCTGATTAACCAAAACAAGCTGGCATAGTGAAGCAACCGATAACCACAGTGGGCCAGAAACTTTTTCCCGCTGACGCGTTTCTAGGGCTATACCCTCTTCATCAGAGCAAGTTCAGACAGACTGACAACACTTCATTATATATGTGCATTTGAATACACACATTGTGACTGATAGGTGTTCATTGGAACCCTGCGATTTGTGAACCCTGCGGAAACCCCGCGGCTTGTGAAAGCGGCCAGCGGGGACACAGGATGTATCCAACACTAATAACTAGATATGCACGGATACTTTTCGAGTACCAGTACAGATACTTGGCATTTTGATGAGAACTCCCAGGGTTGCAGCGGTTGCAGCTGGGACCTGGCTCTGGCGCTCCACCACTGTCCTGAAATCATTAGTCTGTATTGTTTTAGAAAAACTGTCACATGACAATAAACAAAAATGTATCAGTACTTGTATCTGTGAGTACTGGGACTAGTATCAGTACTTGTATCTGTGAGTACTTGGACTAGTATCAGTACTCGTATCTGTGAGGACTTAGACTAGTATCAGTACTTGTAATTGCAAAAATAGTATCGGTACGTCCCTTATATAAGTTTATAAAAACAAATCATACAATAAAACAGATCCGTGTGATCCTTACAAATGACAGCGGCCTCCTAACTTCTGAATTTTTCTCTAGTCTAGTCTTGGAGCTGGAAAAGTATCTGTACTTCTACTTGTACCGAGTACTGGGCTTGGTATCTGAACATCCCTACTAATAACATACAATATTCTAGATACATATAATATTACTGACAAGCATGGAAGAATGAGTGACAGTTGCCAGTTCCCAAAATGCGTCGGGTACAAAGGAGAATGTACATCAGGGTGGTTTTGATTCTGGGTATCGTTATTGTTGAGCCTGATGAAGGGGACCCTGCGTGGCCCCGAAACGCTTGTTCCGATGACATGACGTTTTAATAAACAAACACTTTGGATTCAAAATGAATTTGGTGTGCTGGTGACATCTATCTACAATCATTTTTAGCACCTAGACAAAAGAAGGAAAAAAAAAAAAAGGGTTAACCAGTTAACCCTTGTAGTGCTGGGGAAGCTTCCTCGGCGTCCTCACATCCTATACACAGTGTAAAGAAAGTGATGACTCACTGATCCTTAGACCGCTGCAGCGGATGGGGGAGAGAGGCTCCAGGGACCGGTCTAAGAGCAAGCCGGTTTAGAGGATCGGGTGAGCATAACTTTATTTTCCTCCCTAGACACAAATGAGCAGTTAACCCTTGCCGTGCCGGGGTAGCCCCACTGTAAGGGTTGATAAAAAATAAAAACCCGAAGTTCTGCTGTAACTTCTGTGAAAAAGGCGCAATTTACATTTTACAAATATTTGTTTTTGTATTACCTCGGTGCAGTTTTCTCTTATATATGTAGAAGGAATTTTGTACTTTGTTGTGTTTGTGTGTCAATAATCATTTTAGTGTATTTTTTATTTAAATGAATGATTGGGTAAATATTGCACAACGATCCCGGGACCGGGAAAACCAGCGGCACCGTGTTTATATTCTACTGACTC